AGCCAGGCAGCAGCCCCCACTGCCAGACTGCTGCAGTGGGTAGAGGGTGCAGGGATCTCTCAGGGCTGCTTCAGCAGTCCAGCTGGCACAAGGGGTAGTGTCCCCAGGTACCAGTTAGCTGGGCCTCAGAACCTCCTGAGAACGAGTAGCCCTGAGCTACTTGCCAGGGCAGATTTTTATACTGCTGGGGCCAGGGCAGGGCAGCTTTTTATACTGCTGGGGACAGTACAGGTGCTAGCCCCAGGCTCTAGCTCCCCCTGGCTGCAGATCCAGGAGGAGCCAGGCAGGGTTATTTTGCCCCAAGTGGCACAATTTGCCCCACATTAAAGTGCATGTCCGGGCAAGTGCACTGAGGCAAAAAGCCCCGGCTCAAATTTGTATTGCTTCTATTTGAGCTGCTGCAAGCGCATGTGCCTGCATGTGTGGACGCACCCATTGTGTGTGGACGCACCCATTGGGGTTAAAGACACCTGAAGAATTTAATGTGGATCTACTCCCTGCAATATAACAAATACAGCAATCTTTCCTAACAAACAAAAGATTTTACCCTGGCATTAAGTGTTTGCATGATGACTGATTTTTGGTAGTGCTGTAAGTCTTTCACTTTCATTAGCACTTAAGAATTGACATGATTATTAACACAATTAATAAACTGATACTCGAATGACAAAAGTAACAAAGAAGGAAACAAGCGACCCAAAATGGCCACATGATGGCACCATAAACTAAGATGTGCATGTCTTTATATAAAACTTAATCTAGAAAATGTTTTCCCTCTATTCATCTCTTTTAAAATATGTGTTATGTTAAAACAGTTGAAAAGTAGTTGAAAACAGAGATAAATATAAGTAAAAAAAGCAATTTACAGATAAATTTGTATATAAAAAGACTGAATTGTAATTTGCCATTGAAAACATTTTGGGTAGCATGCTAATTTTCTGCCTTTGAGTATCATTTTAGGCTCTGAATACAAACTAAACTTCATTTTATGGCTGAAAAGTGGACTATGAAAAGCAGGATCTCAATCTTAATATTGTAGGCGTGTACATTGAGACCATTCTTTGCATCTACTGAGCAATTTTCCTCGAAATTATCAAAATCAGTAGAGGATGACCATATCTTTAGTACTGAACATTCAAATTCTGAAAACAGATTTACCTGTCCAATTCCCACTGGTAGCTGAGAGAGTCACATAGCTAGATCCCTGCACAAATACTGAAAACATGGCAATATTATTGACTGGGTGTCTTCATTAATTTTGAAGGTCATATTATCACTCACAGAAGCTCTACATAAAATATATGTTATTTGGTGGTATAGAAGACAAAATATAATTTGTGCTGGAATGCCCTCCTAGAAAGTGTACATACAGCTGCACAGATTTTTAAGGTAACATGTTCAAGAAATTCCTTACTTTATTTTCACATGGAGCTTCTCTCTCTTTGGCAGACTTAAAGCTGTTTTAGAATGCTAAACTTAAATTTATTTTTATTTTAAAATAAATAAAATAGTCAAAATTACACTACTATATTTATAAAATTACATGAATGTAATGTAATGAAAATGAATATAATCACATCTAAAAAACAGAAGCACTAATCCTTTGCAACAGAATAACAATAAGAATTTTTTTTAAGTTTTTCCTAACACAGTTGGTGCAAGACCTTCACTAAAAAGGAGGCAATGGCATTGTCACATAATAGGGCCCCAGATGGCTGTGGTGAACCCTAGTGATGACACTAATCCCATCTCTCACCCTGGCTTTCCAGAGTACCACACTGTCCTCACCTCACACCTAGCCAGAAATAAATATACATTTGGGAGGCTGCCCTCAGAACACCAGAAGTGAGCCTTGAGGTGCTTCTTTCCACCCAGCTCATCACTGGGCAGCCAGTCCAACCCAGTCCTTTAGTTCTGATCTTGAGCAGGGCTCACTCTTTAGCCCCAGTTACCATTTCTCTCTCTCTCTCTCTCTCTCTCTCTCTCTGTCTCCCAGGACTTGCAGCCTCCCCCACAATGAGTCCCTCTTGGAGCCTGTGGCCCTTAACAGTCTTACATTGACTAAACTACTCACTGTGCCTTTTCTGGATATCCACAGTGGCCACTCTACTATCCTTCAGCTATTCCCATCCCTTGCAGCTAAAACATGTGCTGCCAAACAGAAACATAAATAACTTATCTCTGTATTAGACTCTTGCTCTCCTGTAGAGGTCATTCTTCTCCAAGGATCTGGCCCAGAATGAACTCCAGCCCAGGAGCCAGGCTTATATTGCCCTGGGCTCTACCCCCATTCATTTATTTTCATTTATTTATAGAACTCTGCTACATGTTCTAATATTATACAATACAAACTGCATAGAACTTATATTTTACCATAAAAAGTGAAAAATTTTGAACCAAGCACTTGAAAAGGATATGAATGTACCAAAATTTTAATAGCTATTTTTCTAAGAGGATTGAAGGGAGTTAAAATGTAAAGGGCTGAGGTGGCACTGAATCGGAAGATTGCCTTCCCTTTATTCAATACTATAAAAGTCTGGAAAAAAAAAGAAAGAACAATATTTATATTTGTGCAATCTGCATGACCTTTTATTCATCATACATTTTTTCCATTGACAAGAAGTAAAGTCTTGAACCATATTTTGACAGATAATTCACAGAAAATCATCTACAATCTATGCTTAAAAAGAAAACTTTTTCCTATCAACTTACCAATTATATAGGAGCATTCTGCTTTGGTTCACTGGTGTTCCTCTTACAACAACATGTATTTAATAAAATACACTTGTTGTAATAGTTATTATATTATAACCACACACACATATTTTTTTCTGATGCAAAAGTGAAAATTATAATTATTGATATTTTCTATTATTTTTATGTTTAGTTTTCCTGAATTTGATGCGCAGCAGATGAACAACAAATCATGGGTTACATTCTATCTTCCTACAGGAGGCACCATAGGAATGTACTGTGTACTTGAAAAGGGTTCCTCGTAGATATTAATGATGTGACATCTGTCAATGTAAAACTTATGAATTCCAGCTTGGTTTTATGAACTGTCTGTATCCTGTTGTCTCATGACTGTCTCTTACTATTCTGACAGATATTCCTTATGCTAAATCGACAGGGGAGTAGTGCCAGAATACCCATCCATGAATAGATGGATCATTAAAGCCTATGAATAGATTTTATGTGAGAACAAAAGGCTAACAACATCTCAGATAAAGATGGTTTTCTTCACTCTCACTACAGGGTGTTTGAAAGACTGTTTTCCAGATAGGAACCATAAGATCATTCATTA